AGGTAAATTTGAATATCTTTATAAATCTTAATAAATAAATGAAGACAACAATAAAAAATAATAATAGTAATATATGTTTGGAGAGAAAAAAAAGGAAAAGAAAAAAATAAAAACGCAAAAGGTGACGCTAAGTTACCAACCCCGATACCTATGTTACATCAGAGGCGGATCCAGCTGGTGGCTGCAGGGGGTRCGCACCCTCTCCTTGTATCTTCATGGTAATGATTTTTGTGGGGTGCAACCCCTCCTKAGAGGCCCGCAACCCTCCCTGAGGAAAATCCTGGATCCGCCACTKTACATGTAAAGCAGATAGAAGCAGATAGACAGAAAAATGAAAAAAGAAAAAGAAGCTTTATTCGAGATTTTTGACGCGGAACTCAATGTAGAATGGTATAACACTCTAAGAAAGAAACAATCGACAATCGACTGTAAGATACTTTGGAGGATGTTCACTTTAGACATGCTTTAGAGACCTTATAAAAGGCGAAATCGGCGAAGGCACTAATATTAGACCGCTGACATATCGTCGGGAAAGACTGGCACTAGTAGGTCAGGTGATAAAAATACAGTTCAACATCGTTCACAACATGGGAAACAAATACAGTTTGGTGAGTCGAGGCCGTCTTTGAAGAAATGTAGTCGGTTTCTCCTGAAACACGACAAATATGGCATCTCAGCCCCAAGGCCGAGCGAAGGTACATTAATGCATTGGTCAATGCGTTAAAAATAATGCTGAAATGTGCTAATTCTCATATAAAAACTTGGAATATTTTCATGGACAGGCTCCTAAAGCTAAGGTTCTGCAGGGTTTACGAAATACTCAAGCTGAACAGTTATCAAAACTCCAGCAGAAGTATCAGTTTGAGCAAGATCTATTGGAGGACATAAGGTAAGGTATTTKTATTTGTTAAAAAACTGTTAGAGGTTCGAGGATTTTGTGTGATTTATTTTTAATTTGTTAATGTTGTTCTTAGAGCTTATTGCAAGCAAAGATCGGCGTTAGAAAAGGAGTATTCTCAGGTGAGAATATTAATTTTCAATGTACTTTACTTGATTGCAGCTGAAGTTATGAAAATTTGGGGTAATGATCTGCATAAAACAGGATTAAAGAACTGTCTCGCTCCGTGTTTGTTCAATCGCTTGCACCGCTATACAAGTGTGAGCTAATTTAATCGTCCAAGCCTTCAAACAACATACTTTTATATCATGAGGGTCTAGTTTGTATAACTGGCAATAATGTTTACACCTCAAATATATTTTTCACAAGCTACATTTCGCCTAATTCACAGCGTATAATAGTGTAGTATTTTTGTACTTCATGAAACTGTGAAGATTATAAACTGTCAACTCTTAACATTATCCTTATTCTAAAAAAAATAATAAAAAAATGTTCGTATAATAATGTCTATCAATCATTTTCTCAGGTCATGTAAATTTTGCTGTAACATAATCCACTTGAGTTTTTATTTAATTTTTATTTTTTGTAGAATTTGCAGAAACTCAATTCAAACTTTTTGCAAAAAAGAGCTTTTTCAGCTGACACAGATGTAGATAGTACTCATCGGTAAGCAATGTATAAGTGATACAAGTTGATGTTTAACTAACTCGTCTGATATAGTTCTACTAAGTAGAAATTCACTGAAGGAAGTTGTGGTTGTACTGCTGTCACCTTCTTTWTGTTCTTCCTTTCYCATTTTCCATTTGTTTCTCATTTTTTTATTTTTTTCATTTTTTTAAATTTCAATTGTGATTGATATCTTTCTTTTTTTTCAAAACATAATTGTATTATCTCTTGACGTCTTGTTAATTATATTTTTTCTAATTTCTTTATCTCTCAGACTACCAGACATTATATGGAAGARGCTTTTAGAGGAATCAGAAAACTACAGTAAGAAAAGATTAGAAGTTTCAGATGGCTTGCAAACAAAAGTTGTTGAAGAAATTAAGACATTCAAAGCTAATAAGGCACAAGTTTTTAAAAAGGTTTGCTGGAAACTCATGTAATATCTAAAGTAGAAAGGTCAGAATGGCAATTTCCTTAAGACATAGGAGTAAATGGTYTCTGTCTGCTTTGAAACTAGTGCCAAGATTTAAGTCAGAAAATACAAGAAGAAGTGTTTGAAACAGCAAGAGAAATGTCCAAGGTATGGCCTGTGTATATTACGCCTTGAAGATCAAAWRTAAACATGTGATGTGAACAATAAGACTCTTTACATATAGAATGTCTAATTTTATTTATGAATAAGTGATCATTGACCAATTATTGAAATGACCAATTATTGAGTAACACATTAATTCTAGAAGAAACAAGAAACTTTATATTGTTTTTACATGTTATTAAAGTTGCTTTGCCTTCTCTAGTCTAAAAAGGCATACATAGAGGCAGAAAAATTGGCACAAGTTGCTAGTGAACAGGCAGCTGATGCTGAAGACAAGTATGTTTACCATTGTTTACATTACTAAGTAGCCAACAAAGACAGTTAGCAATAGTCTGCTGTCAATTATTGTCGATAAAATGATAGATAAACTGATCAGAAGTAAGTACAAAGCTCTTAGACTAATGGATGGTAATCTGTTACCAATATTTTACATTTCAGGTTTGGTTTTTCAATGTAAATGAGACTGACTTATTGAATTAACCTTTAGGCCTGTAGGCATTTCTTCTGAGCAAACAAAAACTTCCCCTCCCTAGTGATGAATCAGGTCACTCCCCAAATTTTGGGAAACATTATCATTCTTGATAGACTCAGAAACAATTTTTATTGAATTTAATCTGTTTTTAGGTTGAAAAATAAAAATAAAAAGTTCTTCCAGTCAAAAGCAACACTTGAGAAAAATCTCTCCAAGGTACTTCAATTAATGTAGGACAAGCAAATAGAATTCATGACAAGTAGAAACACCTGTTTTGCTTGATGTCTAATGGGCTGCCTGTGTATTATACAGACTTCAAGTCGAAAGGAATTCTGTGAAAAGAAAGCAACAACTGCYAGAAATGATTATTTGCTCAACATTGCTGCAACAAATGCTCATATGACAAGATACTACTGTACAGATTTGCAAGAAATTTTAGATGTAAGTATTATTGAAATTATAATAATATCAAAGATTGAACCCCATATCATGATTGTTAAAAATTTTAATTTTAAATATAATTTCATCTATTGGTATATCTATACTAAAAATTATGAAACCCTTTTGACATCATCAACTATAAGCTATTTAGCTGACATTAATGACAAGTGWTATTTTCCTTTATTTCAGACTGTTTATGGTACATATTATGAAACTATTAGAGATTGTTTTCTAAATATTGGTAAACTTGAGGCTGGCTCTGCAATCAGTGCAAAAAATGGTTTTGAGGATTTGCTGTCAGAAGCTGGAATGGTAATATTTCAATGACTTTATGACATACACCTACTTGCAGAAACGTTGTCATAGAAAATAGAACATTTGAATTTAAAGTAAAAAGGAACGAATTTGAACAAGACAAAAGAGAGCGTTCAGCCTCAGTGATCTTGCTTTGTATTTTTAATTTATTCCTTTTTACTAAATACAAATGTCCTATTTTCTATGACAATCTTTCTGCAAGTAGGTGTATTCTGACACTAGACCAGTCTAGGCAATAAATGATAAAAGTTGCTATTAAATTTGATAGAAACTGTAAGAATTCTTCTGACTTCTAGATTGAGAAGGACTACTGTGTAAGGCATTTCCTACAAAATAACCCTGTGTTCACTAAAGTATCTCAATATGACTTTGAACCCTGGAAAAGGGATAAGGTAGGTGCTAACATGTGCTATAAGTAGTGGATAAATTATTAAATTAACCATCAAACAAAAAGTGTTTTTGATTATAACCTTTGTTGCAGTTGTAACTTTTTCTTCTTGAGCAATTACATGTAATTAAAATGAGTTAGATAATATACCACATAATTAAATAAAAAACAAAAACATTATAAAACATTAACTAAGTCAAAGAAGAGCACCCATTCAATTACTAATTAAAGCATTTTTCTAATAAAAGTCCTTTTCCATGGACAATGTTTTTAAAATGTAGGTAACAGTGAATGCAGTAATAACAACAAGATCCATGACTCAGTCTGTTTGTGCGCAGATCAGMTTTATTCATGATATTTTGTGAGTGATTCTTCATATATCTGTCTTTTTGATCTTCAGGTGTTAACATTGTCTCTTGAGGGCAATGCCGGCCTGGCGTTGAATAAAGAGGCCAGGAAATTATCAATGCGCTATGTCAGAGAACAAAAGACAATCAATGAGAAGAAGAGGATCTTGAGCAGTTTGTCAACTGTAAGCATTTCTATTTTCAAAAACCTGTGAAACAAAAGGTGCATTTATTTCTTTTACTACTGAATATTAGTCAGGTGAGATTTTATCTACGAATGACCCTGCCCAAGACCCAGAACAGAATCCAGATAATATCAAAGAAGAAATCAGAAAATCAGAGGTACTATTAAAGCTGATCAATAAATTGTTACATAACTTTAGTTATTAAAAAGATTAAAGGACAGAGATCCACATACAATTTGACGCAGGTGAATTTTCAAACAGAAGTAGAGAGAAGTGAAAATAAAACAATGGTAAAATAGCATGAAACACAATTTGTTTTCTAGGTAATCTGGCTCAAGTCAGACGCTTGCCTGAATCTAATGAAAGATGCTGGAGGTAGGAATACCTCAATTTATGTTTTAGAACACATATTATATCATTATTTGGAATATCAGAAACTAAGTGACTTTTCTGRTCATGGACCACATCTTAATTTTAGATTGTAATTGTATTTTGTTTATTTGCTTTKAACATATTGTTATCTCTTTCTTGTATGAATACAGTTAATGTAGATGAGTGGCTACGAAGTGCAAACTCGCTGTCTGTAGTAAATCAAGGTTAGTYATTACCAGTAATACTTATTTACTGGGATAGAGGGAAAATTTATGTTTTGCGGTCACAAGACTGCYGACCRGAGAGCAGASYTWRRAAWYYWAAAWYMA